TACATGGACTGCTATCATCATCATCATCATCATCATCATCATCAGTTTTGTTATCATTAATATTAAAATACCAGAACTAGGTTAGTACAAAAAAAATAACAATTATGTTTGTGTTTCTTTTTGTCTCGCAAGCTTTATCTATTTATTTATTTTACATATGATTACAATTGAAATAGTGTGTATAGTCACATTTTAGTTAAGAAAATTGGGCGCTGAGTAATTTTATATATCAGTCGCCTAGACTGTAATACTTGATGTATCTTCAATAAAATGGTCTTCGAGGGCACTTTAGACAGTATATCCCTACAGTACTGGTATAGCATTAATAAAAAGAAGAGAAAATAGTGAAATAATGATTTGGGATGGGAGCTTGAAGCAGCACTTGAAATAAGCAGTTCTGCAAGGGGAGGAGCTTGCCCGTGAACCCCAGTCTCTATTGAGCTCGCAGCAGAATGAAACGTACGTGCGCCATGGTGGTTGAAAAGCCAATTGAAAGGGACACTATTGCCTTGGCCCAAAATATGCTCCAGCAATGTCATACTCCGAGAGATTCTCTGCGGTGATTGTCACACTGTCTGAGAGGAAAATTTTCGATAGCCCAGGTCATAAGGATCCTTTGCGTGGGGCGAACGGAGGCTCATGTCCTAACCTGGACTGCCAAGTCCAAAATAGCGGGACCACCCCGGCGCACTCGATCGCGTTCCAGATAGTAAACCAGATTCAGACATCCCCGGTTCAGTAAGCCATGGCTCTGCATCGTCATCCGTTTGTCCATGGAGCTGCGAGCTGGGATGGAGAGCAACCGAGTCCCGTTCAGCTTCCCCACATCAGCGCGTGCCCCTTCACTTCTTCAGGTCGAAAAGAAGACCCTTTCTATTTTACTCTGGACCCGACAGGGCAAGCCAGGCAGCCTCTCGACATCTCCGCTTTCAGCAGAATCATGACAGATATGGGCTCTCTGAACAGTGCAGACGACCATCGTCCAGAAACGTCTTTTTACTCCGGACACAAACTGTTGTCACTCAATACCAACACGGATCCAGAGAGTCCATCGCTTTCTTCCCACTCAGACTCACAACATTTGCACAGTCTGTCTTTGTCCGCACCGTGTTCAGAAACTGACAATAAGCATGATATGCAATATTTAGCAATGGAAAGCACAAAATACCCAAGTCAGTGGAGTGAAAGCAGAACCAACAGGAGCATCATTACTACACTGAGCATCAGTCAGAGAAGTAAAGACGACATAGAGCCAAATAACCTCCAGACAGACTTTACCAGGGGCGATAAAACTCCAAGAGAGAAGACACAAGGTGGGTAAAAAGGTTTTTAAAAGAAAACACTGGGTAAAGCAAGTCCATCAAAGACCAAAACCAGATTTTTTTTCTTTCCGAAAGCAATTGAAGGTTGTAGCCACAGAGACACAAAGAGAACCAGGGTTGAAAATGAATTTATTGCACCGAATTACCCTAGACAGACTAAATTGCACGTCGTTTCTCTGAACATCAAAACAGCGGAAGGCTGCCATTGTCAACTGGAAACCATATAGTGTGGGCCAGGTGTGGCATTGCTTTAGGACACTTTTATTGAAGTTATACAGAGGAAACCACTTCTGGATTCAGAATTTGAGGTTTAGAATGAAATTATTTATTATTTAAGTCTACAAGTGTTGCATATCTAGATGTAAACAAAGCAAAATCAGAACAGCCATTTAAGTAGCCTTTATATTATTTTTGTCAAGGCAATTCGTTTAACGTATCCTAGCAAACACAGCAGAGGCCTAAAATGTCTAGACAAAAATGCTCGTGTGCACCTTGTGAAGTAAATTAAAGTCACCTTCATTCGTAAATAACCTTATACAATATAAATTGCCCCAAAACAGCTTAAGAGTAGGCTAACAAACAAACAAACAAAGAATATATATATATATATATATATTTAAATGAAGCAAATTCATTGTGCTTTGAAGCAGCCATAAAATACAAAAGTGTGCGGGCTGCACAATTTTATTTTGCCATTTCCCTTTATTTAGTCCAAAAGCTAAACACAGCAACACTATTAATTTTAATAGTCAAAAGTTGCATTATAAAGGACAAAACTTTGAATAAATGTAAATTATATTTGCTTTTTGATTATCAAAGTCACTAGGCTACTTTATTACATTCATTGTATGAACAAGTAATTAAATGAGTCAAAAGAAAGACTACTACTTATCATAATCAAAAGAATAAATTAAAAATACAATGTTGTTTTAGCTGAGATGCTATCTGCAACAGAATTGCAAACATGTATCTCTTTTTTTCTTCTCGGCAGTTTCCCCCTTTTTCCCCCCCTCTCGTAGGCATAGTGCGCAGTCTGTGCTTACATTATTTCCTGTCATAAAATGTCGGACATAGCCAGGTAATGGCCGCAAGCATCAAGCTCAGTGGCTGTTTGCGCACTGTGAAGGGCGTCTGTATAATACCATTGTCTCTCTTTCTTTTATATCTTAAGATGTGACCTTAGAAAATGCTGCAAATGGCTGGCTTTCGGCGAAAGCGGGAAGAAAGAAGCGATGTCCTTACAGCAAACACCAAATCTTAGAGCTGGAAAAGGAATTCCTATTCAACATGTACCTGACTCGCGAGCGCCGCCTGGAGATTAGCCGGAGCATAAATCTCACCGACCGCCAGGTTAAGATATGGTTTCAAAATCGCAGGATGAAACTGAAAAAAATGACTCGAGAGCACCGGACCAGGGACCCTGGTACAAGTTTCACTGTCTAGTTTGTCATGTAATACGGTTGAATAGACCGAACTCAGCGCACAAATCATTTTAGTCATCATCCGTTGCAAGTGGACTGATGCAACTGCTGCTTCTGATGGATTAACGGGAGGAAGCGATCTGTCAAATCTTACTACGGCGGTTCACAATGTGTACTATGATGCAAATGTAAGGGATATAAATTTAATACCTCGCATGGAGAATAAACGAATGTGTAAAAAAAGAAGACACGGCTTTGGCCATTCGGTGAAAGCTGAAAGCTATTCGGAAAGCCCCTGAACACTGTTTATTGATGTCGTTTATGTTGTGACCGACCTTTTTAACGAGGGAATGTTTTGTAATTTTCAATAGGCTATCTGACTTATGATTTCCCACTGTATGAGTTCTTCTTTCTTTGTTTTTTCAGGTTATAAATGCTGTAGCGATTTTTACACAGCCTTAGTATTTATTACTTGAGTAGCCCAACTAAGAACATTTGCGGAAACTACGGAGTGGCCTAAACAAATCTATTAGAAATAGTAAAGTATTTTAAGTGCTAAGATTTGACACCAAGCACAGGTACTGTTGTTGTTTTTTCAAATCTGTGTTGTTTAGTAACCATATTGGCTCGAAAGATTGTTCTGCTGAAGCATGGTTGAATGTACTTAAGCTGTGATACTTCATTTGTTTGTGTTTTAAAAAGCAGATAGTTTTAAATAAAATATTGCCATACGTGACCATAAAATGTTCCCCGTAAAGTTTGACAGATGTCATTTTGAAAATTTCTTGATTTATTAAAATGTGCCTATTTAATATAATATCTCCAGTGTTATAGTACTGTGACAGATGTGAAAAGTAGACCAATAATTATTCAATCCAATTAATGCTTATTTATATAGCGCTTTTTACAAAGTAGCGTGTGTAAAAGCAGCTTAGCATAGTTCTAGTAAAGTCCAAATTTCAGAGTTGAAGTTTAGTTTAGTTCAGTTCAGTGTGTTTTAAATCAAACTCAAATGTTATTAAATACAGACTATACATTTTAAATTACAAGCTGCCTATGTGTTTATTTATTTTTACTCACTGCAATTTAAGAAGTTATTTACAGTGTAAATAAGGGAAATGCTAACGAAAAACGAAATGTAAGAGTTTGGCGATTTAAAAAAATAAAGATGAAAAACTTGAATAATGGTTTTGGACTGGTTGTAGCCTATGCTAGTCATTATTTTATTAATAGATGTAGACACGATTCTGGTAGTTAATTTGGAAAAAGAACAGACAATAAGTACTTCAATTGAATTTCATTTAAACTAAACTTGTTCAGGGTAATTTTGATAGATTATTGTGGGTCGTTGTGTTAACATTCACAGTTCACTCCAATTTTACTACTTTTATTTTTTAATTTCAGATTTCACCCAAGAAATATAATAAAACAAATAACGTTAATCACAGACAAATCACATCGTCTATGCGATTAATTTCTTGTAAAGTAGATTAAAAGAAAAGTGCCATTTATGCATCTGGATTCATTTTACGCTACTTTCCACTGCACTGACTCTAATTTTTCAGGTTTGTAAAAACACGGCTGAAAAAAATATTGTGAACATTTGCTTGAATATGTACATTTCTGGATTTATGATTTAATATGACACGATAGTGAAACGTGAACATTGGTTAATTCGTACTGGGAATGATATTTATCCTTACATCTTTAGGAGATGCAGAATTATTTATAGATTTCCATGACCCAAGTGAATATGAAATGTATCACTTCTTTATGTTTGTTTTATTTCGTTCTTGAGTTTTTGGACGAAAAAAAAAACATGCTGATGCTGCATAAGTAGTTCGTCCTCTTTTGTTTTTGCTTTGGTGAACCGCCATGTTGAGATGGGACAATCCCCAACGTCACTGGCCAGGCAGGGGCCTCTTTTTATAACAGGGGGCAATAGACCCTTTTATTGCTGACAGTCTGGAGAGAACCGGATATGCTTGTGAACTTAAATTACTTTATTTCTACCAATGTCTTTACACAGTTCCCGCAATCCTAGTATCTCTTTGCCCCGCTGTGGGTCAGAAATGTTTCAGCTGACTTTTTGAGATTTTAGCTCCAGTGCCCTTTAGTACGGTTCCTCAGTTAAACGGTGCTCTGTGAAAGGACATAGCACTGAAATATGAGTGCTCATCTGGTTCAGTACTTTTGGACGCTAGACTGCTGGCAGCCTTTCAGGGTCTTGCCTTTGAACACGGAGAAAACCAAGCTG